CAAGCAGCTTGTCCAGGGGGCGGGGGGGGGTGTCCCCCAGATCTGTGCTGGGCAGGGTGGGCTGGGGTTGGGGTGAGACGGGTGTGGCTCATTGGAGAGGCATGGGAAAAGGGGATGGGGTGGCTCCCACCACTGTGTGCAGCTCGTCTGGTGGCTTCTGCTGCTGCTTCATCCACTTGTGGGGGTGGGACGGGCGTGTGTCCCCGGATCTGTGTGGGGTAGACTGGGGCTGGGCTTTTTCTTGCCAGGCAGATCCAGGGACACATGCCGCCCCCTACCCCATGCCCTCCTGGACGAGCGGCAGGAGCTGCCAGATGAGCACTGGACGAGCCACGCGCAGCCAGTGAGAGCCGCGCCTCCGTCCCATGCCTGTCCTGGCTTCGGCTGGGTAGCCCCAGCCCTAACCCCAGCCCCACACCCTCCCTTACCGCAGGGGGCCTTGATCTGCTCTTCTGCCACACCAGACTTACCAGCTGCATGCAGTACTCCACACTGCCAGCTCTGGTCCTTACTGCCTATGTGCATGCATGGGCATTTATTGGACAAATTATTGGCCACATTGGGCCAATTTCCAGTACAGAAATTTTATTTATATTGGTGCTGATCTGATATCAGACCAATGTATCGGTGCATCTCTAGTCTTGAGGGATGCCAGTGCCCCCATTGTTCCTTGGATGCTGCACTGAATTTGTTTTTGAAAGTTTGCAGCTCTTTCCTCCCACTATACACATTACCAGAAGATACATCTGCACAGCTGCCCCTGCACTCTTGACCCTGCAGCCACACAGCAACGCCCTGACCCACTGGCCCTGCTTTGTGGGCACAGTATGCAGAAACAAGGTGGTGCTGCTGTGAGGGGGCCTCTGCTGCTCCCCTCAAGATCTTTTTCCAGCATGCTTGAGCACAATGGAGGGGAGCTCCCATGAAGTGACCTCATTGCTTCATTTTCAGCCTTGGCCTTGTGGAGCTGGTGTGGATGCAGGGGGTGGGGTTGTGCTGTTTTGTGGCAGTCTTGAGGATGTCAGGGCAGCTGTGCTCCTCTGTGGTTATCCAGAGAGACATAGCCCACTGGATAAATGCGGTGTTCTCCTCTGCTTGGGGTTGCCTGGAGCTGTTCTTGGAAATGTTTGCTAGTACGTTGGGGGGCATTTGTTTAGAGATGCTGGCTGTAGGGGGCATGTAACACCCACATTTCATGGATTGCAGTGACTTCCTCTTTACAGTTCCAGGTATTAATATTGGTGTGCAGTGCTCTAAATGTAGAATAGTTTGTCAGGGGTTGCGTGCTCTCAGTGAGTTCTGGAATTTAACTTTCTTCATAGCTGAGGAAATCTTTTGACCTTCTGGAATGAATGTGTAGCTTGTCTGTTCCCAAAAGCCTGAGCGGGGTAAGAGTGGGGATGGTCTGTTTAACAGCTAGGCCCTAGAATTTGATCTTTCAGTGTGTTTGTATTAGAATTTATTAATAACCTTTTTTTGGTGAGGTCAGAAATGCCCTGCCCTAGCCTGCTGATAGAAATGGCAAAAAGTAAAGCTTTTTAATAGCCTTCACTGGAGAGTGGGTTCAGAGGGGAAAGAACTGCACTTGTTCTGTGGCTTGTACATTGGGATCTGAAGGATGAACATGTTATTTTTCTGTGTCTGTGTGTATGATAACATAGCTGCTAGGCAGTTTAGGATGAGACTTTCTCAGTCTCTGCAACACTGGGAGAACTTCGTGTATGAAGAGGAGAAAATCAGTTCTGGTACGGTAAAGACGGCTGTTTCAGGACCAAGACAGAAGGGATGGCAGTGTGTGTTCACTCCAAATTCTGATGACTGAAATCCAGGCATGTTTTTCTAATGATTCTTTTCTTTCTTCTTTTAGGGATATCAAAACATTAAATATCTTCTTAACCAAGGCAAACCTGATTAAACTGGGAGATTATGGGTTAGCAAAGAAATTGAACTCTGAGTATTCCATGGCTGAGACTGTGAGTATCTATTTCTTTTGTCTTTTGAATTAATGGCGTTGTCTCCACCTCTTCAATGTCTGATGGATGTTTCCTGGGGGGCAGAGCTAGGACATTGCAATTTTCCTGCCATTTAGCTTGTGTGATCCTTTCCTTCCCTTTCCACATCCTTGTTAATCTCAGTAGTTTTTGAGAGTAACCAAGTATTTTGCCACTTTCCCCTACCCCGGGGAAACGTTAGTATGTTCATTGCTGAAATTTATTTTTTGGAGACATGTCTCATTTCCGGGCTGGTGATTGAAGAGTAGCAATAGACTACATGCTGGAAGCAATATTTGGAGCATGTTTCTTGAAATATAAAATGTGGCTGTAATAAAGGAGTTCTGTGCTACTCATCCCAGCATCTGATAAATGGTATTTCTGAGGGCTTATGTATGCAAGATAGTGCAGTGCCATGCAGAGATACTTAAGCTAGCCCTGAATGCGCTGGAACTGGAAGTAGTGTATTTGCATTAATGCAGTGCTTTCCTTGGTCTCATTGCTTTAAAAGGCCTTCTCAGCCATCAAGTGCAGCCCCCTATATCTGCAGGCAACTATTTATCCAAGACTCTTTTTGCTTACTTTTTCAGGTTCTAGAGGAGAGGCCCACTAAAGATGAGTTGCTTGCCCACCTCTCTTCCTCAGTAAAGGCAGGGCTACTTAGATCACTGCACTAACATGGCTCTAATTCTTCTACCCAAGGTAGCTTAAATCTGTTTGCTCAGCACTGCATTGTATCCTGTCAATGTACCCTAGGACACTTGCCACTTCAGCATAAGAGTTCTGAACTAAACGCAGAGTGCAGAAGTGTCCAGGAGAAATGGTAGCTTTTACTCCCATCTTTGAGATAATGGGGTGTCTCAATATTTATGTTAATTTTTCTTTTTGATATAGTTTTCTGAATATCCTTTCTGGGGAAGAGGTTTACAGAAAAGGTGAATTTTAAGCTTCCGATTTGTCAGCTTTCGGATTGGTCTCATTCCAGTCCTCTCCAGCAGAGTATTGCACAACCTGAGTTCTAATGTAGAGAATGCTCTGCTACAGTCATCTGGGATCTTGGCCTTCCAGCTCCACTGTTCCTGTGGTGAATAGCATACTTGGAAGGGGAGATGGTCTTTTAGGTCCCAGTGTATTAATGGTTGTGTGTATTAGGACACTAGCCAACTCTCACTTCCCCTGTACCTGTCCTGATAGGTTTAATGATAGCTTTTGGCGTCATCTTGGGATGTATAATTAAGCATTTGTTAACTTCTTTCCAGAACATCAACATAATTGTGCAGCTCCATAATAAACACGAGCATAACATTACTGTACAAAGTCTCTGGAAGCATCTGCTGTAGCAAAATCATTTCAATTATGACATGTTTTTCCTAGGCTCATAACTTTCCAAGAAATTTACCTTTTGTGCAAGGAATTTCCATGCTGGTTTGTTACCCAAATGGAATGAGGAGTGGAAAGTCTGAGCAAAATTCCTTTAATCTCTTTAGCTGCTTTGAGCAGGCTGGCCATGCTTTCATTCATACCAGTCTCCCATCTGGTTGAAGGTTAAACCTGACTATGATTAGAGCTCACAGAGCTGTGCGCTTACCACATGACATAAGTGAAAATGGATGGTAGAGAAGAAGGAATGGGAAAGTAGAAGAGACTGAACTATCCCACCCTTTGACTCTACTTGACCCTTTCATTCTGAAATAGAGCACTCCTTGTCTTGTCAGCATCCTGTAATCATAAAGGCCTGCTTAGAGCTGTAGATGTCATCTGCTTTTAGATACTTTCTGGATCCATTTTCTCTCACCGTTCCCAGGACAGTTGGGAGGGGATAAGGTTAATTGGGTGGCTGAGCCTCATTTTATGACCTATTCTGAACCCTAGTTTGCCTTCCCAAGTCAGGCAGCAAAAAGAGAGGCAAGGGCTGCAATTCCTGTTCCTGTACTAGTGATTTCCACTATATGCTACATCAGAGTTCTAGCAACTAGGTGTTTTCAGCTTTCTTATAAACACATCAGACAGGATTTGCAATGGAAATGTTTGGTGGGCCTATAATAACTGTCATGGGTAGTAAAGTCCAGAAACCTGGCTAGAATGTGTCTGACACCTTTCTGTTCTTTGTTTTCTAGCTGGTGGGAACCCCATACTACATGTCCCCAGAGCTCTGTCAGGGAGTGAAATACAACTTCAAATCTGATATTTGGGCCGTGGGCTGTGTTGTTTTTGAGCTTCTCACCCTGAAGAGAACCTTTGATGCCACAGTAAGTCTGCATACCAAGGGACAAACTCAGTGTGTTAGTGGTGATTGTTCCAATGTCTGCACTGATCCTGTGGCTTTTATCTCTTGCCTTTTTTTTTGTGGGCTGTGGTTGTTTGAGTATGATGAAATTGGATAGGGAAAGCATTGCTCTCAAATCCAGTGTTTTAATCCTGTTGTCCTGGTCCCAACGCAGTTGTGAGAGGAGTGTGTTTGTTTGATATATCTGAGAGTCACTGTAGGCCTGTGTGAGTGGGTAAAATTATGTGCTGTCACTTTGTCTGCCTTGTCAGTGGAGGCTAAACTCCAGTGAGTGAGAGTTGCATAGTGCCCTGGAGTTTGGGGGTGAGGAGCAGCTAGGGTATTCCTTCTCATTGAGACAACCTGAAGTACTGAGATGAGTCTGCCCTCCCCTCCCTCAGTGGGTCATTTAGAATAAAAAATGATGTTGCCACCAAGGCCTGATCATGGCAGAGGTAGCATTTCTGTTGGTGAGCCTAGTCACACAGGGACCAGAAAGAGGAGGAGGGCATGTTTCTGCAGTAAACCTCTAAGGCATCCTGCATCTCCTCCTCCTGTTGACCATGTTCAGCTCTTTTACAGTAGCACACTGTTTCTACCTAGAACCCTCTGAACTTGTGTGTGAAGATTGTACAGGGGAATCGGGCCATGGAGGTTGATTCCACTGTCTACTCCTGGGAGCTGATCCAGATGGTGAACTCCTGCCTCGATCAGGTTGGTGCGATGTATTTTCTTTTCAGATCCTTTACCCAGCTGCCCCAGCCATGCAGTTTTAAGGGCAGCTGGTGAGCTGTGTGTTGCTGGTTGAGGGCTGGTGATATAAGAGGGGTTCTTACATGCAGCTGCCTGTGCAACTCAGTATGTTGGTGAGAGTGATCTGACCTTCCTTCTGCTCTCTGAAGCTACCTCATTTGGATACTTTCCCAGCCTGATGAGATTGTGGGAGCTGAAGGGTCTGTTTGATGCTGTTTTTAGGTGCTAGTTAGTTGAAGTTCCCATACCTCAGCACTGCAGAGATGGAACATTCTTCCAGAATAGCCTATTTGGGCTCCAGCTCTCTGGACTGCATCTCTTATTGCCCTTGCAGTGTTTCTTGGAGGCAGTTATTCATAGATTCATAGATTCATAGATTAAGGGTCGGAAGGGACCTAGTAGATCTTCTAGCCCGACCCCCCGCCAGGGCGGGAGAACAACAAAAAACCCCAAAAAGAGAAATGGGACTCAAACGAGTCCAGCCAGGTAGGCATCCAGCCTCTTCTTAAAGACCCCCAGGGTAGGGGCCAGCACCACTTCCCTTGGAAGTTGGTTCCAGCTCCTAGCCGCCCTAACGTTACATTTCATATCCTTGGAACGTGCAAGTCTGCAAATCAAGAAGCTAGTACCCTCATTTTCCAGACACTTGGCTAGCCTCTTGGTTCACTGTGGTGTGACCCCTTTCCATTCTGAAAGGAAGTACCAGAAGGGAAAGAGGCTTGGGGGGAGGCAGGGGGAGCTAGAATGAGTTATCCTTTTTAAAGATTTCAGTGTCGATGATGACCCTTTCCCTAGGGAGTGACCTATTGCTCACCTTTTTCAGGATCCTGAGAAGAGACCCACTGCAGATGAGCTGCTTGAACACCCCCTTCTCAGCAAACGCAGGAGGTAACCAGATGTTCTCACCTCAGACCTGATTGAGTCATGGGTGTTAGGAGGAACAATGGGGCTGCCTTGTGCAGAGGAGTTACTTTGGTTCTTCCCAAGTTAACTCTTTGGAGTGAGTGACATCTCTTGGGCACTTGTAGAGTCATTATAAAGGACCTTTTATCATCTCCTGCATCTCGTGTATCAAGCTGAGTCCTGGGTTTTCTCTCTTTGCCCTTCTTTGGAGACCTGTAATGAAAATATACCACTATTAGTAGTTATTTACAACTCTGGTCCTCTGTAGGCTACCCCTCTATGTTCAAGAGCCTGGAGGTTTTAACATGTGCTCCTCTATAGTGACTTATATGGCCTGGTTAAGAATATTTTTCTGCCATTTGTTGTTGTTATTCAAGCATAACACCTTGTAGTCCCAGTCCTGGACTAAGACTGCTATTAGACTGGTCACTGTACAAAGAGAACAATATGATAGCTCCTTCCCCAGAACACTGATAAGTCCAACTAGTCTACAGAGATTGGGCTCTCTTATTCATATGATAGGGTGGCTGTGGGCTGTGACATTGGACACTGAGTCATGCTTTGGTCATCCTCATGGTAGTAGACCTATTTACTTGGACTCATGTGTTTTTTGTTTGTTTGTTTTGTTTTGTTTTTTTACTGGTAGCCAGTCTTCAGAATAGTACCACAGGGTAGTGTTTTTCTGAATATACCATCTTTAGAAAGATGCATAAAACTGAAGTCTTGATACTGCTTTCCCAATTAAAAGTGCCAGGCCACTCTTCACGCAAGTAAGGTGTTTGTTTCAGTGCTCCAGTTCTGTTGTATATGTTCCGCCTGCAGCTTTATTAGCTCTGTAACATATTACTTCTATCCTGATTTGTTACTGCTTATTGCTGTGCTCTATTAAACAGTCATCTTATTCCACCCCAGTGAGAGCAGCATTTATTGGAAGGGGAAGCCATTGTTGTATATGGTTTCTCAGTTTGTGGAGTCTGTAAATTGCTTTGGGATATAATACCTCACTGTTTTCTATAACCTTTCTTTTTTTCCCCTCTGTGTCAGGGAGATGGAAGAGAAGGTTACACTGCTTAATGGGCCAAACAAACGACACAGGTAATTCTGTGGCTGCCTGTTTAAATGGACGCTTATAGGTAAACATTTCTCAGATTAAAAAAAACGTTGCTGAGAGTAGGGTAGTGATCTACCTTCCAGAGTCTCTGGGCTAATTAAATCAGAGATGCGTAAGCTTTTGTGAACCTGAGTTCACTTAATCAGATGCTGTGAAAGGACGTGCATAGAGCAGTGTATCAAAGAGCAAATGCTTTGAATACAAAAAGGAGAGAGGGGGTGGGGGCAGTGCTAGGGGAGGCAAACAGGTAATAAACCCATAGTGACAAAGGGGTCACAAAAGCTAATCCAGGTAACAGGATTATGATCTGTAGTTGGCTTATGCCATACTTAACATGATTCAGTCTGTGGATGACCATTGTAATAAAGTATCATAGTTTAGGAGAAATTTAAATGCTTGAAATTCAGGGCATTCCTACAGCTTTGCCCTGATATTTGGTCTGTCCTCTACCTATATGTGGAGATTATGTGGTATCTTGCACAACTATAGTCTCCCTCCTAAAAGGTGAATTCCACAGTGGTCCGATCAGTGTATGAGATTATAATCTAATACCCTCTTTTCAGGCTTATTAAGTGTAAAGATGGGAGGGGATCTCCGTGTAAGAGGAGAGTGAATGGATCTCTGTCTTTGAAATCAGTCACACAGTTAGTGGCATGTTACATTTATCTGTTCCGCTGGAGCAATATATAACTGAGAAAAACAGGTGGCCAGTGTACATCTCTATTCCGCAGGTTACTTTGTTATGTGGCTTGACTTTGTGAATGATTTGAAGGAAAAGGTAGAGTGGTGGCATTAGGAGGTGGCCAGCAACAGTCTGTACCAGTGGTTCTTGACCTTTCTGGACTCAAGGCACCCCTTACTAGGCTTGAGGCACGTCTCACTGACTTCAGGGCACCCCTCTGTAATTTGAGTGTAAATTGAGTGGCACCTAATTTCAAAAAGTAATTTATAAATTGCAGTGCTTACCTCCCTATAGAGGGGCTGGGCAGTGGCTGTGGGAGATTGATGAGGCAGGGACAAGCCTGAGTCTGCACTTATCTACTTAGACTATCCTCTTAGGGCATTTATGCACATACATCTTCATGCTGTGATGCACCGGAGATCCAGTGTGTTGGAGCAGACTCAATTAATCGCACGCATTTGTATAAACAGCAAGCTGTGTGTCAGTGCTGGGGAAAAGGCAGTGGTGCGCTTTTGAACTAAAACACCTTCCATGTGTTTTAGTTCAAAAGTGCACCACTGCCTTTTCCCAGCGCATTTTGCCATTTATATAAATATATGCGATGCAGTGCCAGGTGCTTTCAAAAGTACTTGGGCTGAATCGCACACCTCTAACAATGCCTTTAATCTTTTCACACCTTGAGACACCCTTCAGAGGATTTAGCGTTACCCCAGTGGAGAATCACTAGTCTATATATTCCTTCTGACCTTCCTTCTTCATGGACAGGGGTTAGAATGAATTCCTATCAGCTTGGGTGTCTAGGTACTTACAGCTTGTAGACAGATTGAGGAGTTGTCTCTTGTTTGTGTTCTGAGGTTCATAGAAAAATGGATAGCCTCACAGAAAAATGGGGCTGGTAAAGCCTCAGGAGGTCACATAGTCCAGCCCTGTGCTCAAGGCAGGATCATCCTGTAAAATCATGCCAGACAAATAACTTGACTAATCTGTATGTAACATTCAGTGATGGAGATTCCACAACCTCTTTAGGAAATCTGTTCCATTGCTTAACCACCGGCAAAATGAGAAAGTTCTTCCTACTTTCCAACTTACATTTCCCGTGTTGGAATTTAATTTCATTGCTGCTTGTCCTGTCCCGGTGGATATGAAGAGCAATTTAATCACCATTCTCTTTATAATAATCTTTTTTTGTACCAGAAGATTGTTATGCAATCTGCCCTCAGTCTTCTCTTCTCTAGGCTAATTAAGCTCCATTATTCTGGCCTTTCTCCATATGTCATTTTCATTACACTTTTGGTCATTTAATTGCTCTCCTCTGGGCTCCTTACAATTTGTCCATGTTAGTTTTGAAGGATGGTGCACAAAATTGGACCCAGTATCCAAGATGAGGCCATGCTGGTGCCAGCTAGAGTTGAAGTCACTTCCCTTGACTTGCATATAACTTTCCTGTTAATACATCCGAATAGGCTGCTTGCTTTTTTGCAATGATATTACAGTACTTGGTTGATTTGTTTATCCTCAGTTGGTGATCCACTATAAACCCAAGATCCTTTTCAGTAGTGCTGCAGCCAAGCCGGTCATTCCCCGATTTGTATTTGTGTATTTAACTGTCCCTTCCCAAGTATGTTGCCTTGGCATTTGTCCTTACAGAACTTCATTCAATTTAATTTGAACCAGGTTATCAAGGTTGTTTTGAATCCTAATCTTGTTCTCCAAAGCATCTGCTGTACCTCCCAGTTTGGTGATGTCTGCAGATTTCCATCCTCAAAGTAATTTAATGAAAATATTGAATAATACTAGACCCAAGACAAAGTCCTGGGAAACCCAACTTGATGTCTCTTGATAGTGCTAATGGCTGTTCTTTGAGTATGATTATCCAATTAGTTAAACAACCTCTGTATAGTAGTTTCATCTAGCCGACACTTCATCAGCTTGCTTATGAGGATGTTGTGTGAGAAGTTGAGACATGCCCATCCAAAAGTCTCATTACCTTGTCATACAAAGAAATAAAGAATTATTTGCCCTTGACAAATCCATTTTGGATCTTAGGCTGGCATTAAGAGGGGAATTATGATAGGCTGCAATGTGTTTCTAAGACAATTGGAAGGGAGAGTAGTGAGTGGAGACTGGACTTTTCAGGCCAAAGTGGCAACATTGGATTTAGGCTTTTTAAAGGACCGGATATTAGAATCTGGCTATCCTTGAACGTATAGGTGGTTGAGTAGACCAGAAGCAGGTCAAATCACCACCTTTATATCATGAGTGGTTTGTGTTTCAGCCAATCTGTAAGCTAAGGAAGACTAGAGAGTCTGTCCTTCTTCAGTGTTTGAAAACTAGTGCTAAAATGAAGTAGTGACAACGTTAATATTGCCACTAGAAAATGAACTATAAGTTTTCTGGTCTTTCTAGCTGGCAACATTTTATAAGCAATAAAATACTTAGCAGTCATTTGAGGGGTACTGTATTTTTATTTTCAGTAGCCGTAACAAAGTGTTCGTCTGAGAATCTGCTTTGTGTGTGTGTGTAAGTGGAGGGTAGGAGAGAGAGTTTTGTGCTTAGATAACTTGAAATTCTACCCCAGCTGTTTTAGAGAGAATTGTGATTGTAGGGGGAGGAGAAGAACACAATTGAAGAGGTTAGGATTAACACTAATTCCCCCCCCGTGCAAAAGAACTGTGAATAATCCATGGTTTGTATGTGGGGTTTTTTTTAGTAAAAATCATCTGACACACTCTCATCCTCAGAGACTAATTTCCTTTCTGTTGAGAGTGCCTGTAAAACAAAATGATCAGAGGCTGGGGTGGTGGTCAGAGCAGCTACCTAGCATCCTCAGGACATTGTAATTACTGCTACTAGGGAGCAATTTGACTACCAGTTGTTTGAATTTTGTGACAGTCTTTCATAAACCTGGGATTGAGGAGGAGTTCTGGAATCTTTTCTAATGTACATAGCAGGTGACTGTAGCAGATCATTTTTTCTGCTGGTGAATTGTTATATAGTTTGATTTTCTTTTTTTCCTCCTCACGAATTAGAAAGTGTTGGGCAAGCTCTTCATGGAGCTGCATTACTTGTCATTAGAGGTGCACTGAAATATCGGTGCCATATTGGATCAGCACTGATAAAGGGAAAATTAACATTATTCGGGTTTTTTTGGCCAGTGTAGCCAATAATGTCACCAATAAATATAATATGCCTTCTGGCTGGGTCCCCAGACGCCATGTGCTTGTGGTCAGGAATGCAGCTGGGAGATGTAGAGAACAGCACCCTGCAATTAATTCTGTGGAGGGGAAGGGGCATGGGGAAGGGAAAGGGTGTGGTGGGGGGTGCAGATCAAGGCCCCCATGGTGAGGGAAGGAGTGGGGCAGGGGCTGAAGGTGCTGCCCAGCCAGGGCAGTGAATAGGACCTGGGGCCGGGGCAGGGAGCAGGATGGAGCTGCGGGCAGCTTGTCCAGGGGGTTGGAGTCGGGGCTGGGGAGGGGGAGGCAGCTCCCCGCTGATGCACACAACCCCTAGGTGAAGGCATGGAGGGGGCATGTGACCTCCCTCAGATTTGTGTGTGGGATGGATGAGGGCTGGCTGCTCGCTGTGGACTCGGGGCTTTCTACTCTGCTGCCTTTGCCCCAGTGACTCTGCATCAGCTGCCTGTCCCCTGCCTGCCTGGCAGCAGTGGGGGCAGCAAGTTGAGCTCCCAGGGCAAAGGCAGCAGAGTGAAGAGCCCTGAGCCCACAGCAGGCAGCTCACATCTGCCCTTGCCCTGCTCAGCTCTGCTCCAGTTAAAAGCTTCCACACACCACTTTTAAGCCCCAGGACACTGATCCCTGAGACAAGCTGCCCATGGCTCTGTCCTGATCCCCAGCCTCTGCCCCACTCCCTCCCCACTGTGGGAGCTTTGATCTGTCCCTTCCCTATACTCCTTCCTTCCCCCATGTCCCTTCCCCTCCACAGACTTACCTGCAGGGTGCTGCTGTCTATGCTGCCCAGCTGCATTCCTGTATATCAGTTATCAAATCGGTATTGGCCAATATGGCTGGTTAATAATCAGCTATTGGTATTAGCCAAAAAAATCTTTATCAGTGCACCCCTACTTGTCATCCACAACTTATTCCTTCTACTCTAGTTTCCTTTTTGCTGTTGTTTTTGTGGAGTGATTAGTTGGTACATAGCTGTGTGTTCACTTCTTGATTGGTTGGCTGAAACTCTAATAAAGAGAAAGAGGGAAATGAGGAATTGCAAGGTATGTGTGTGTTTGCATGATTGTTTTTGAAGCTTTTCTTTTTTGAACAAGAATTGTGTGGTTTTTTTTCTAAAAGAAAAAAATGTTAATATTTGTAAAGCGCTGCAGCTCAGGCCTGGACAGACCATTCCAATTAGTCACCACAGGGGAGCTGAAGAAAAGTTGAATACTGTTGACTGTGATCATGCCTCAGTACTAAGTACTCGTATGTTCTGGGGGATTTTGTACAGATCAAGCACCATGAATGAGACTCCCATTGCAGTGGTGACTTCGCGCACTAGTGAGGTGTATGTGTGGGGGGGCGGGAAGTCAACCCCCCAGAAGCTGGATGCCATCAAAAGTGGCTGCAGTGCACGCCAGGTGTGTGCGGGCAACACTCACTTTGCCGTGGTGACAGTGGAAAAGGAGCTCTACACTTGGGTGGTAAGTGAGACAAAGGGAAGGAACGGGGGAGGTTAGGGTCAGAACAACCAGTATGGTGTCAGCATCACCATCTGTGGGTCATTCATTAGGCTGTTTGAAACATGAGAATGAGCTCAGGAGGAGCGGGGAGAGCAGAAGTGAACTCAAGAAATGAATGAAATGGGGAAATTTGTGGGCTGAGGCAGCACCTTTGGGTATAACCTCTCAACAGGAATCTATTTACAGGCTGGGGGAGGCTTCTATTGTGGTGTTAGCTGTTGAAGTGCTGCTGATGTTGCCCAGAATTGCAGCAGACCTTTGGGGGGGGTGGAGGTAAGATACTACTGTGAATTACTGTCCCAAGCCCAGGGCCCTTTTCTTCCCTGCCCTTGATGCATAAAAGAGTGGTGGAGGTCTTCTTCCCTTAGTCCAGTGTCTATTCTGAGAGGGGATGAGTGGATGAGCCCACCAGGGTGTAGGAGACATAGGATTCTGAGTAGTCTGCAGCGAAGGCTCCTGCCTTCACTGATAAGCTAGAATTTTGATGAATCAGGACCTGGGGATTTTCAGTAAATTCCGTTCCATGTTCTTTTTGCTTTGATATTCAACTAAATATATTTATCGTGCACCTAAACTATCAGTGTTCATAGATTTCTGTATCAGCCATGCATAACTAAATCACAGAAGTAGCCAGCAGGAAATGTTACTGTCTGGGTAGGAGAGGGTCTCTGGGGAGAGAGGCAGGTTAAGATTGTCAGACGAACGCATTCATTGAACAAATGTGAAAAATGATAAGGGAAATAGTTTGTGGTATTGACATTTAAAATGTCATGTTTAGGTTTCAAAGTCAGCACCTCATCCAGATAAAAGGGGTTGTTCACTACTTGGAGCTGTTATTAGTTTGTCTTTAGACCCTGGCAGACGTGTCACTGATGTAGCAATGTGCCTAATATGCTTAAGAGTTAGAAATGTACGTAATCATCAAAAAAACAGATTCCGGACCGTGGGTCTGCTGCAAGGACTGGATTCTGTGGTATGGCAGATTACTTAGGAGCTTAGCCATACAGTTGGGTAGGAATAGGAAAGGAGATTTCCTTTCTGATCCCTTAAGGTTATCAGCTGCTGGCTCAAAACCTGCTTACTCCTCCTTGGTGTATGACTGTAAAGCTACCTGAGGGCTCATGTTAGCTTTTAAAGGGTGCTTGCTGTCTACAACACTGAGAGCAGCCCTTTTCCTAGGGTGGGTAAAGAACATCCTCTTGCTCTTCTCTTTTCTTTCCCACCTTGTCCTTGGTTACTCCACCGTTCCCAGTTATTGGTTATAACCCTTGAACTGTGGGCCTATATCCTTACCAGACTTCCCTGTCTTACAGAACATGCAGGGAGGCACCAAGCTGCATGGCCAGCTGGGGCATGGAGACAAAGCCTCCTATCGGCAACCAAAACATGTGGAAAAGCTGCAGGGGAAGGCCATTCGCCAGGTGTCCTGTGGGGCTGATTTTACAGTCTGCATCACAGGTGAGTGATGGATGATAGGCTCTGTGGTAGAACCAAGTCTCTACTGATGGACACAGCCTGTCAGTAATAAAACTGGACACAGGGCACATACCACCCATCTCCTGTCTCTTGCTCTGATCACTAGGTATGGGGCACATGTGTACTGATAAGTAATAGATGGGGGGGAGAGTGAAGCAGTTTGAGACTTGTCTTGGACTATGGAGTCCAGGACAAAGTAGGATAGGGTGAGAAAAGTACAGCCTGTGGGCTGGATCTGGTCTGCCAGGCCATTCTGTTTGGCCCGTGGGGTCCCTAAAAAATTTAGAAAATTAATATTTATCTACTCCTGGCTGCCTGTCAAAGATGACAGGAGCCAGGGGCAGTAGGACCCAGGGGGAGCTGGCAGGACCCAGCAGCCAGGCTTGCCTGGCCCCTCCCCCAACCCCTGGAAGCCTCTGCCTAGCAGAGCCTTCTGGCCTGGGATTCTGGGGCTGTTCTCACCTCCCTGCGCCAGAGGGAAGTTCAAGTAAGAGTTGGGGGAAGGCAAGGGACGGCTGCGGGGATCGCCTCAGTCCTTGGGGCCAGGTCTCCTGGCTCCTGCTGAGTCCCATGGTCTGGCTCATAGACCCCTGACAGCCCAGGCCCCGCACTTCTGCCATCCTGCTCTGGGCCCTGCTAGCACTGGCCCTGGAATACCGGTATGGGCCTCCTGCCCAGCTGTCACTGTGCTCCGTGCGCCCTCGCTGCCACTCCCCCCGCTGCCACTGCTTTCAGCGTTTCCTTACCCACCTGCTCGCCACTCCTGCACCATGTGGCTTCCAGCTGCAGGAGCACAGGGCAAGGGGTGGGAGGAGTGGCATGTGTTTGTGTCCGTGCAATGAGGAAGGGAGGGAGAGCAATGAAGGAGGGACAGAGTATGTGTGCATGGGTCCAGTGAGGGAGGGAGGGAGGAACAGAGTGAGTGAGTGAGTGTGCGTGCACAGTAAGGGAGGGAGGGACTGTGTGTGTGTGGGAGGAAAGGACAGAGTGTTTGTGCATGTGTTCTTAAGGTGAGTCCCACATGCCCCACCGTATACATGAACCCACACCCCACCTTGCACAGCCATACACACAGACCCCCACACCCCATATCCACATACATCCACATGCTCTCACCCCCCCACACCGATCCACCCCCCCCACACACCTACAGTCCCCCACATACCCACACTCTCACAGCCCCCCACAAACCTATACCCACCCCCATGCTCCCCACCCCCTCAAAATACACAAGAGTATGACTTCATTTTAAGCTATTGTGCAATCACCTCTGTATACACTATACAAATGCATGTAAATCAGGACAAAAATATTTTTTGAAATCAAATTAATGAATGATGTAGGTGTTCAATTTTTAGAATATAATTTGGTATTTTTCTGGTTCCAAGGCTGCAAAATCCCTTGCTGAAAGGAGTATTTTCTGGGGCAAGGGGAGGGACTTCTGATGGCAAAGGGCAGGGGTTAGAGGGCAGGACTTCTGGTCACAAGATAGCAACTAGGAGGTGGGGCATCTGTTAAGGGGCAGAGCTACCCATGCAGCCTTCAAGAGCTTGCCAGAACTTGGTAAGCATCCCTCAACCCGAAATAATAGCAGGCCCCTGAAATAGGAGCTAGGATTGAGGTTAGCCAGCAAATTCCTGACGTTGAATATGATGGTATTCTTTTCCTGATACGGTTGATTCCATCACCTCACTGGACTGAGAGAATGTGTGGATCATGGCAAGTTTGCTGTGAGGGAATTTGAACCTTTTGTTGCCCAGAGAAAATAACCTTGTTGACAAGAGATTCTGGAGCTGTTAGCCAACAAGTGTCCCACAGAAGTGGTACTGATTACCCAATGTGCTGGTATGGAATGGTGACTTGAACCCAAGCTGTCAGCTTGCCAGGAGTCTGAGGGCTACATCTTACTATTATAAAGACTGCAGCTCCCCCTGCCCCCTGTTTGTAATACAGAGAAGGGAGAGAATTGCAGGGTCTGCAGGTCCTAGCAATGCAATGATTCTTTTTAATATGAGCAGCCAAGGTATATTTAGGCAAAGACTGTAGGGATCACTGCTTTGCATTAAAGAAGCTGCAGAGAGTGGGCTTCTTTAGGCACCCATGATAGGTTAACAGGAAATGTGATACATAGTTTCATAGTTTCTAGGGTCAGAAGGGACCTGA